GCAGCAGTCTGTCACTGAAGGAGCTGTCCAGTTCAGCACCAGCTTCATGCATCGGGTGGGAGACATTATCCAACAGAGATGTTTATTTAGTTAAGCCGGTTCGTACACTGTGCGATTTTCGGGGCGAGTTTTCCAGATCTTTGCTGCGTGCTCCTGTTCTACATGAGTTCAGACTTTCCTGTGGTTTTCTCAAGAACATACTTGGCAAGGAAACAAGTCAGTATTCGCGTTCTAGTGAATTGAGAAACGGCCAAGTTTCCCTAAAGAACGCTTCTCCGCCCACTTGCTTCCTCAGGAACATCCTGTTTGGGTTCTGGTAGAAAAAGCAGCCATGTTGGTTCAGTAAAGGCCCAATATTTGTGTCCCATCTGCTTGGGCGTTTGTATCTCCGGGAAAAGCTCGGCGAGTGACGCGTTTCCGTGTCTCTGCTGCTTCCAGCCTGCACCTAAAGGAGCGAATATCGAGGTCTCCATCAACGATTGCTACGACGGCTCCTACGCAGGAAACCCGCAGGACATCCACAACCAGCCCGGCTTCGCCTTCAGCAGGAACGGACCCGTCAAGAGGACCGCCGTCACCAGACTCCTGGTCTGCAGGTAACCACCGCCACCCCCCCCAGCCTTAGGATTCCCATCCTGCTGGGACCGGGCTCACCTGCCGCCTCTCCACCACGCAGACCCAAGAGAACAGAACCCAGCCTGTCAGAGTTCCTGGAGCTGGAGGACAGCGACCGGGAGCAGAACCAGAGGACGTTCACCAGCGGACACAACCGGCTCTACTTCCACAGCGACAGCTGCCTGCCCATGAGGCCCCAGGAGATGGAGGAGGACAGCGAGGACGAGAGGGACCCCGATTGGCTGAAGGAGAAGACGGTGAAGGTGGGTCAGAACCCGCTCATCCGGCTCATTTTCTTCAGGCGTCTAAACTTTCTGCTTCTTTTCTGAGAAGGGAGAAAGAAGCGATGTTTTTATCCCGGTTCTTCAGCTGTTTTCTCTGCTCCTGTGAACTGTTGGGTTTGTCTTTACTGTTTTCTAACGTTTCCAGATTGGCGTGACCAGAATCACGCCAGATCCAGCCCCGGCGACGCTCACCTTTCTGCTGCTGGTCTGTTAACGTCCCGTTAACCCCTGGATCCCACCGGTTCCACCCGCCGCGGGTTCATTCAGGAACCCTGCAGGCACATTGGGGGGGGGGCGTTGATGAGAATCAGAGATCAGAAGGCGGGAAATTTAAACGTGTAATCGGGCCGCTAAAGCCGGTGGAGTCCGGGGGTCACAGCCGGTTCAGATGTGACCCAACCTGGGTTCAGTTGCTTCTTTATTAACTTGGATCTCATGAACTTTATTTACACTCCAGTTTAGAGGAAGTTTGGTTGTTTTAATTAAAAAGATTGTTTAATTTGGTTCCTCTGACGCCAAACAGCCAATCAGAGGCGAGTCTGACCGAACATCTTTCACCCATCAGAACCAAATAGAAGCTTTACGGCAGTAAAATGAACCTCTGCTTTCAATCTGAACCCGATGTGTCGCCTGACTTGTCTGCTCCTCCCCGCAGCAAATCGAGGAGTTCACCGACGTCAACGAGGGCGAGAAGGAGATCATGAAGCTGTGGAACCTTCACGTCATGAAGCACGGGTGAGAGCGGTGCTGCTGTTCGGTCCGACTCAGATGAGACTGTTTGATAGAGAAGATTTGGTGGAAACTAGATTAAAGCTGAGAAGCCATCATTTTCAGGTTAGCTCCTCCCAGCCAGTAGGTGGCGCCATCAGCTGCTGCTGGGCAGGGATGAAAATACTAAATGGAACTGATATCTGGGAAGGTCTAAGCTCCGCCTTTCGCTCTTCAACTACTGTTCCTATTGGTGCTCAATCCTTTCATGCTGACGTTGGCATGGTAACAGTTTCTGAACCTATTAATCTCTCAAAATCCATCCAATCGCCGCGACTGACATCGTAGACATCGTTAGAAAGCTTTGATTCTATTCTATTTACACGGCGAGTACCAAAGCAGCATGTCAAAATTTAAACATGACAAAACAGCCGCATACCTTTGAAGGCGTCCAGAAGCCGGTTTATAAATCCAATCTTCAGTTGTTTATACTCCATTCATCCACAGATTAAAAATAATCCAGATTATTCATAATAAAAATCCCCTCATAACGTTCGGTTTTTGACGTCAGAAAAGTTGGATGGTCATAGCTAATGCTTAGCATCTTAAGAAGACTTACTTCCTTGTCTGTTAGCCCGCCATGTTTGATATGGTTCTTTACGTTGTCTTCTTGCCTATAAGACAAAAATGTCTTCTTTGTCTGACTCGATTTGAGTCGGGGACAGGCAAGGAAGTCTTAAAAGCGCTCCCAGCCTGCCAGCCAATGACTCACAGAGTAGAGCGATATTACGCCTCATAGAGTCCTGCTGTTATTGGTTAATGCTACGTTTAGACGGCAAGCAGCAAAAGCAGCTAGTTTCCATGCTAAGTCAATGGTTGAAGCGCATCAAGTCGCAGCAAAAGGTGCTGCAGCGCATTTTGATCTTCTAAGCATCTGAGACGCTTCAGAAGCAGCAGCTGCTGGACGCGCCTCATCAACCAATGAGAGAAGCTGATCTGGGAGCTGGCAGGGAGTCAGACGCAGCACTGCTGATGCAGAGCGCTATGATCACTCCTCTGAAACAGTTTATTAACGTCTAAATTAACTTCAAATGTAGAAACCTGCCGGCAGAATATGTTGGCTTTTATTATCCTGCTGCCTGCAGTTTGGATTACGTACATGAAAAATGCCTTCCAGACCCAAACAGTAGAGGAAAACCCCCAAGAGGCTCCCGGGCCTGAGGCAGCTGCTGCTGGGGATTCCCAGTGACTTCGCAGCGCCGGTATGTGGGGGTCTGAGCGGCTCCCACAGAGAAATAATCTTTGAAGGCAGGATGGTAATCTGGATGAACGTAGCGTAAGACCAGATGGGCTGTTTGGCTTAGTAGCGAATGAAATAAGGCACACACAGACATCCTCATAAAATGGCCAAAAAACACATCAACGACCAAAAATATGAAACTTGGATGTTAAGGAGTCTTTTGGGTTGATTTAGAACACAATTCTGGCCCAATATTAAAAATAACCCTAAAAAATACAACTTGCCTAATAATTCTGCACACAGATTAAATGTGCTCATTATCAGGCGATATTGTCCCAAAAATCCTCTTAGAATCTGTGTTTTTTTTCCGTTATCTTCTGCAGGCCAGTTAGTTCTACGTCAGCCTGAACACCTAAATTCATCCAATCATATATTAACGCTCATCTGTCAATCAAATGTTTTCAGTCATAGCATCTTGATTCATGTGTCGCAGCTAATATACGCAACGGTTGAAATCAGAATCCTTTCCTTTCCCATTGAGTTGCGTCCCAGTGTTCACGGGGATGGACGTCTGTGTCTTCGGCAGGCGTAGAGCTAACAGAACTGGCAGCGTTGCGAGGCAAGGGCTCAAACATGTACGGCTGGAAGCCTTCTACACCAAACCAAGCTTCTGCCGCCCTGGCGTCCTCTTCCACAACATCTTCGTCCCCGCTTTCCTCCTCTAAATAAAAAATGGATGACGGAGGAGACTCATCCACGACCTCCGACACTAAACTCTCCTCCTCTTGCATGTTTCCTCTGTCCATAGCGTTCCTTGACAGCGTCGTTTCTAAGTCACCAATTTAGTGCTACTTGGTCCCAATGGAATTTCCCATTGGGAACCTACTAGCGCTAAGATGCTAACTAGTTAGCAAGATGCTTCGGACAAACTGGCTACAACGAAACTTGCTTACGAACCTTCCGCTACAACAGTCCCGCCCCTTTTATAAACGACCAATCACATTCACTTTATTCACTCCTGTAAAGTCGTGAAACCACTCGGGAGAATTCTGAAATGCAACGTTTGGAACGGCCGCTTTTAGACCTTAGAGGCTTCTAAAAATGTCTTTAAATTAATATTTAATCGTTTTTAGGAGAAACGAATGAAATGACCTCATCCTTTCCTCTTTTTTCATGTTTTCCTTCCAGTTTTATCGCCGACAACCAGATGAAAGAGGCCTGCCTGCTGTTCGCGAAGCACAACGCCGCCGCCATCGTGGAGCGCAGCCTGTGCCGCAACTTCCTGCTGCACCTCATCAGCATGCACGACTTCAACCTGATAAACACCAGGACCATCAACGACGCCATGGCCTGGATCCACGACCTCCAGAACCAGTCAGCCAAGAGGGACAACGGCCAGGAGGAAGAGGAGGAGGAGGAAGAGGAGGACTGGGAGACGGCTGTGGAGTCCCAGCCGGATCCCGATCCTGATCCCGAAGCTGCAGAGTTTAAACTCTGCGTCGAAGAGAACCAAAACAAGCTGGACGAGCAGTAAGAGGAGGAGGAGGAGGAGGAGGAGGAAGAGGAGGAGGCGCCATGCAGCAGAACCATGAACTGGACCCAGAGATGGGAAGCTCCCAGTCTGCTCACTCTTTGAACGCCTGTTTTTTCTTTTCTCTACGATCCGTTGACGAGGCTTCAGGAAATTTTCAGGAATTTTATTTTGGATGTTTTTAAGGGTTTTAACTCTGAGGTGCTAAACTTTTCCAGGAGTGAAAAACAACCGCAGCCTGTTTGTTCTTCCACTAACGACCAAACTTGAATCAGAGTCGATGAAATGAATCCGATTTCACGGTTTTTATTTTCAGCCCGCGCTTCAGGGATCAGAGCTGGAGGAAGAGGAGCAGCTCTCAGGTGCCGTGATGTCACCGCCGACTCCTCCTCCAGGGGAAACAAAAAAACTCAGCTTTAAAAATGTCAATAACTTCTTTTATTTGCTTTTTTTTTTATTTTTGCAAAGCGAAGCCCTGATGGATCAGCTTAGGACGCGCCGTTAAAGTCCCGCCGTTTGGTTCTGGGTCGTGGTCAAACGTATCCGGGTCCAAACTGGAACGTTCCGGTTCTTTTTGACCTCAAAAAAAAGGAAAAAATGAGCTGAACCTGAAGAAAAAGCAGCTTCCTGGTTTTTATCACTGGTGCTAAAACGAGTTTCACTCCTCAGAGGCGACTGTCCCACAGCGCCACCTACTGCCAGCACTCCCAACATTCTCTAAGCCCTGAACTGCCTGCAGCTCCCTGCTGTCTGATCAAGGTGCTCCATCGTCTCTGGACGTTTGTACATAAAGCCGTAGGTGGGAACTATTTAGCTTTTTCCTTCCTTCCATGAAGCGTCGTGTTTGGTTTTAGCCTCCCGGACCAAAGGAGATTCACTCTCTGCTTGCTCCCCCCCCCCATGTCTCTAACTTTATTATTTTTTTTAAAGACTGCTGCAGCCAGAACCTCCTCCGCCTTTAGACAGTCTGATGCTGCCTTAACACTTTAACCGACCCGGCAGAAGCGGCGTAAAAAAAACCCGACGCCGACCTGGAAAAGCTCCACTGATGCCTCCCGAGTTTCCGCTTTAATCCAGACTGACTGTTTTTGTTTGTTTTTAGCTTTTGACTGGATCGTTTTGTTTTTGTTTCTTCACAACACCAGCAGCGTTTTGCACAAGACGGGAGGAGCCATGTCAAATAATAATAATTATAATAAAAATTAAAAAACTGGTCTAAAATATTGCTGTAAAAAAAAAAAAAAAAAACTGAAAAAACGGCTTGATGATATAAACTGTGGAATCATGGTTTTCTAATAAAGTAAAAATGTGAAGAAGATTGTCCTGTTTTGGTTTTTAAATTGTTTTTTTCACAATGGTTCCTTCACTTCCAACAAATAAATATTAACCTTAATTGTTGTAGCTCTACTTCACCACTAGATGGCAGAGCAGAGGGAAGATTGGCAGCACAAATTAAGATATTTAGAAATTTAATCTTTGAAATGTTGGGTTCACCTGTTAGAAAAGGCTAAAACGGGCTCATATTTAGGGTCAACGCTGCCGCCATGATTAGTTCTTTCATTTTAAACTTAGACTTTATTGTCTTTTTTTTTAGACGGAGCGTATAAAAAAAGAAATTTCATTCATTACAGCTCTCAAGACATTTTCATATTTAAAGTGCAGCAGTGATAGAAATAAGACTATCATTTACATTTTCAAATATTCAGCTCTTTTAAAAAAATATCTCTGGAGAGATATGATCAAATTCAGAAGCTTCAACAATACAAATATCTAGTAAAAGAAAAGCATAAAAAAATGGTAAAAAGGCGTCATAACTGATGAGTAACTGATCCTCTGAATTATTTTTAAAGAAATATTTAAATAAAACAAACCGTTGGCAAATTCTCGGATTGTAAAAATTGAATAAGAATAACGTAAAAAAAACAGTTTCTGAAAATTAAATTCAGTTTATTTCTATAGCTCCAATTCACATCATGTCATCTCAGGTCACTTTCCAGTTCACCAGATCATCCAGTCAGATTGATTCAAAGTTTTCTATCTAAGGAAAACCAGTTGATTGCATCGACTCATTGACTCTTCAGCAATCCCTCACACTAAGCATGCTTGTAGCGACAGTGGAGAGGAAAAACTCCCTTTGAACAGGAAGAAACCTCCAGCAGAACCAGGCTCAGTGTGAGCGGCCATCTGCTGAGGCCCACTGGGGTTCAAGGAGACAGAAGCAGACATAGAAAAAGAAGCATAGATACAAAAGGCAGCTGGATATTTTGTGGGATTTATTTTTTTTTTCTTTATCATTTGGTTAAACTAATAAATTCTTTTCCAATCGCCTCCCTATTCAGGTTTCATTTAGTCTGATGCCTTTGGATCCACTTCCACGGTGACCTCACTGATTAAAGGTTCCATCCTGATCTGCTCTGGTTCAGTGTTTTTGCTTCCTGGATTTTTGCTCCTTCCTAATGTTTCCTAAACAGCGCAGCATTTAATGCTTAATGTTGGTAAAACAGCAGCAAACAGCAAGAGAAGTGTACTGAAAATATCCTCAATAAAGCTTTAGCTTCCTGGGACAGAAGCTTATTGTGGCCGAATTGTTTTCAGTTGTCATGTTGCCTCTGAGCTGCATGATGCTTCAGGAAGAGGAAAGGATTCTGTTTCTGAGTCTTTTTTACTCATTGCTCCTTTAAGGAAAGTAAAACTAGATTTCCTATAAATAAAAATATGATTTAAAAGACCTTTTATTTTCTGTAATTCATATCCTAAAGCTTTAACTCCAACTACAATCGATTAAAACCTCCCCAGTTTGCTACACAATCGTTTAAAGGAAAAGTCGCTCATATTCAGAATTCAAACTTCTGAAAGTTCTTTAAATCTGAAATGATTCCATCCTGTTCAATAAATGATCAGTGTTTTTAATTCAGAGTAATTTTCATGTGAATGTGCTTTACTGGAGGCATCCATGTTTGTCAAAGAACACTACTGCCACCTACTGGTTAGTGACGTCACGGTGCGGTATCGGCTGTTGATCAAGTCCCAGTGCTGTATCTGGTGTTTGTCACAACGCGCTATTATCCAAGTCATCTTGAAAACATTCTTCTTCCAAATGTTGGCTACATATTACGGGTTTTTTCTCTGGCCAGAAGTTCGATGGCAAATCCTCCCTCTTCAAGTTGGCGATCCAACGACCAACCCGTCCGTGGAGGATCAGGAATCAGAAAGGTGGAATAACTCTTTTTTTTCACTTTTACCCGATGTATTCCAGCATCCAGCTGCCATGCACGTGGGCATTGTCAGTTTCACTATAGCTCTGGTGAATTTCAATGGTGAAGTCCTCTGGAAATCTTCAGTAATTGTTGTTGATTGCAGATGTGTCTAGTAGTTCCCATTGATTTAGCTTGGAAAGCGGGGAGAATGGCGCTAGGCTTACCGCACCGTGACGTCACTGCTGGAAGATGGCAGGAGGGAGGGGTTACTATATTTGGGCAAAAATGGCCGCTGATTTTTTTACTGATTAACGCCAAATTCATTAAAACACCATGAAAGTATTAGTTTTGGGTATAAATAATAATCATTGATTCTTCCTCGCTGACCGGACTGTTCCTTTAAGATTTGTGGCAGTAGTGTTCTTTGACAAACATGGATGCCTCCAGTAAAGCACATTCACATGAAAATTACTCTGGATTAAAAACACTGATCATTTATTGAACAGGATGGAATCATTTCAGATTTAAAGAACTTTCAGAATTTTGAATATGAGCGGACTTTTCCTTTAAAGTCTGTTTTTATTTCTTGTGCTTTTTTAACCATGTTTTCCTTCCACTAAACTTTCTAGTCTTATCAGTTGATAAAGGCCTTTATGAAAAACCAAACCCTTGTGAAAAAAGTCTGGAAGTTTACGTGTTGGTAAGTTTTTTTAATTTTTCGCTCATTAAATCCCTAAATAATTTTGCTTTTGTTAATAAAGTATAATTTTCATCACAATTCATATTTTGTTTGCATGAAATGATAAAAATCCAGATTAATTTTAAATATTTTGTAAACTTAGAGCAGGAAGAAAAGCTGGAAGAGTTTTTTTTCTTCATCAGGAGGAAGATTTTATTGAACAAAAACTGGTGAGAACACAAATGCAATACACAGTTTCGACCAACAGGTGTCACCGTTAAACCCCTCCCCCCCTAAACAGAGAGGAAAGGCTTCATTTCTGAGGTTCTGTTGGTTGATTTCAGGACATTTGTACCATCGGCTGAACCGGTTGTTTCCGGTTCCAATCGTCCTGCGTCAGGATTTAGAAAACATCCACAGATAAATCCGTTTTTATTCTTTTAGGCGACAGGAAAATGTCCTTTATGGAGAACGGATCCCGTTTCTTCCAGCGATGAGGCCTTCCTATGGTTTTCCTCTGACCTGCATCCTCATTTCAGATATTACATAAAACTACACAAAAACACACCGAAACCTTTTCGCTGATGTTTTCCAGACTCCCTGAAGATTAAAAAAAAAATAGATTCACAGAAAGACAGGAACAAGTTTTTAACAAAAAACTTGTTAAAGAGGGAAAACAAAGAGCAGAAATTGAAATGCAGGTGAATGTTGTGGTTCTGGGAGACGTGAACACTGTTAGGATTGTCACAGCAGGAAGCTTTGGAGCTCTAATGGTCTCCATAAACACAATTTGTTCTGACAGGATCAAAGAGAAAGAAACAGATAAATTAGATACAAATATTTCACATCTTAAACATCAATGGGTCGTTTTTCTCCAAACAGATGCAGGAATAAAAAAAAAGACATTTTGATAAAAGTCTTCTGCTAAAAAATCAGGGATGAACATCGGCTGACAGAAGCTAACAGAACTTTTCCTTTAAAGCATTCCAATAAAACTAGACATGTTTATCGCAAGAACCGAAATTTAAATAAAGATTATAGAATCAGGATTAACAAAAACGGCACAATGTTGTAGTTTCTCTTTAGCGTGTGACCGTTGCTTTCAGCTAGCAAAAAAACGGACGCAACATTCACAGTGAACCTAAAAATAAAAACAGCTAAAACCAGGCAGCTAAAACTTCTACTGTCCTCCTGAAAAGCTGCGCGACTGTTCTACGGTTAAACTGAAAAAAAATTGCATAGATTTATAGACGTTTAATAAAAATGTCCGACAATAGAGACTGCTGAAGCTGTAAACAACTCGCTCTGTGAGAGGATCCTGGGTTTAAACGAGCAAAAATTGAAAAAAATATCTAGAAAGAAGTAAAAATGACTTTAATTAAGTGCATTTACCATTTCATAAGCAGATAAATATGATGATCTGCAAATAGAATGAGTGTTTTTACTCTTAAAATAAGATAATTAGGTTAATTTTCTTATTTTAAATGTAAATTGTCTTGTTCCATTGGAAAAATGTTTCACAAACCTCCTCAATTGAAGAACAAATGCACTTAATTTAAGAAAAATTGAATTTTCCAGATTTGGATTTTTTTCCAGTGTGTAAAAACTGTCTGCACTGGAAAAAAGCGTAATCTAAATAAGTCATTTTTTTCTTAAAATAAGGGCCTTTTGTCTTAAATTGACACTTTGACAATGGAACAAGACAATTTATATTTAAAAATAAGAATATTTCAAGTGCATATTATCTAATTATCTTATTTTAACAGTAGATATACCCATCCGATTGGCAAATCATCTTATTTACCTGCTCAAATTAATGCTAAATACCCTTAATTTAAGAAATGTTGACTTATATCCAGATCATTTTTACAGTGTGTCCTCTTTGCAGGAAACTAACAAGCAAGGAAAAGTCTCACCTCATCAAGGCGGACATTTTCTCCCATAAGAATCAGCTATTTTACACATAAAAAAGAAATTAGGCTTAAAGACATTCTAGATTTCTCCGTCCTTTAACTTTGGGACACCTCAGGGTTCAATACTGGGGTCACTATTATTAGCATGTCACTGGAGAAAAACATAATGACTGCTTTCTTTACCTTATTACTAATCCCAGCATCTTATTCTAGTTATAAATCTATTTTACTGAGAACGGTTAATATTGTAACTCTACTTTTAATTACACAGGTAAGAATTTAATTGTTAAAAATTAACTATGTTTCTTAAGTCAAATCAGAAAAGGTGACCTGAATAATCCTCCTTTTCTTTCCTGAGTTACAAAAATATAAGAGTTTTTTTTCTAATCCAGATTTTAATCTATAATTAACTGTGGGACACCTCAGGGTTCACTATTCGGGTCACTTAATGAATAACATTAGCCTCAATTAGCCTCATTAGCTCCAACGTCTCAGTGACTTTCAAGCATAAAATATTGCTTCCTTATAAACATTAACAAAAGTATTTGGAGTTTTACTAAAAGAAATGTTAAAAAAAAATCACTTTTCTCGTTATGATGGTGAAATAAAACAAGTCAGGAACTATTGTGAAAATATGATTCAATGCGAGTCCCGTTTTTTCTCCTTATAATCACTAAAAATACTTTTTTTTGTTTAGTTTTTTTATACCTTATTAAACCTGGGATCCCTCAGGGTACCATATTTGGGCCGTATGATTTCCCCCGTTAACAAATCAGATTAGCCGTCTCAATGAAAGGCAGATTAAGGAACCGGCAGGATAAAAGTCGTGTTTGGCTAGCTGTTCCATTTGGTCTAAATCAGAACTATTTACTGCAATGGAGTGAAAGCTAAAGGCAAGAATCAACTATTTGAAACGTTTTTGGAGTTGAACAAAAGAGGAAGATTCCAGATTAAAGCGGATTAAATCTTTCTTCCTCCAAAGGGATCAGATATTTGATATCCATAGAGCGGGAAAGGGGAGCAGAATTCCACTTCAGATGCTGTAATTGACTACGGGATCCCTCAGGGTACAATATTAGGCCCACTATAATTTCCCCCTTGATGAACGATGATCGTTTTTTTTGTTTTGGTAAAATTTCTCTTTTTCATTTTTCCTGATCCATCAATTACATTTTGTAAATTATTTCATGGCAGTTTCCAAGCATTTAAGACAAAAACAGTAAAGATCTCCAATGTGTTCTTTAGATTAAGACTTCCATCACAGGGTCGGTACGTTTTGAGTTTAAAGTATTTTTGAGCGGATATAAATTTGCCGCTTTAACTTTAAACCTTCTGATTGAAACAAAAATTAAAATAGTGACAGATCTACGTAACTGAAAACCGTTAAAACTGATCTTTAAAGAAAAGTTGTATTTTTGATTTAATAGTTAATAGAAAATCATGAAGGGGAAATAAAGGGGCGGGTTTTGATGTGCGAAACGTTGCGCTCCATCAGCGTGGTGGAGGTCGCTGCGATCCCAGAGTTCCTGGATGCCTGAGGACCAGATGCTCACCGTCAAAAGACAAGAGAAAGTTAAAAAAAAAAATCGAACGATTAATCTTCCTAAAACACGAGGACTTTCCAGCCGGAGTGGACGAAGGAGCAGCCGAAGAAGAGGCAGTCTACCGCCTGGTCCACCAGCCAATCAAAGACCACCTCCCTGTTCCCGGAGCCGATGGTCACCCTCAGCTTGAAATGGCCGCCCTCGCTCAGGTTGTTGTTGCTGATGGGGAGCAGGTTGACCACCTCCATGTCAAAGGTCACGGCCGAGCCCACGGTGATGGCTGGAAGCTGATTGGTCATCTCTTTACCGTTGACGAAAACAGCGCCTGAAATGGAGGAGGGGATACGAGACGCAGCAGTTAGAAATCATAAATCTGTTTTTTTTAAATGAAATGCAGAACAAATGAAGAGGTTTGGGTAGAAATCAATGCTAGCAGCTGCTTCTAGAGTCCAGCTCAGAGCAGAAGTGAACTCAGCCAACCGTTGGTGGAGATGCAGACGGCCTGGTCTCTCTGCAGAGACTCCTCGCCGCTCTGAGCGTCGATGCAAACCCCCAGGCTGTCCAGCCGGCTGAGCTGACCTGCAGCAGAGATCCTGCAAACGTGCAAACCGTCAGCAAAGCACAGAGTCTTTGAGGGAGGAGGGGGTTAGAGAAACGATGTGAACGTTTGAGCGTACTTAAAGGTCAGCGTCTGCCCGCAGAAGTAGGTGGGGGCGTTGGAGTAAAGGACGGTGCTGCGGCCCTGGGAGGAGTCGTTCCGCAGGGCGATGTTTTTCCTGCTGCTCAGGATGTAGCCTTCTGTCCCTGAACGCCACTCTGCAGAAACACAGAAGCACAGCTTCAGAACGCTGCTCTTTCAGATCAGCATACCCCATCAGATCAGCATACCCAGGCTGACAGACGATTCACCCCCCCAAAAAAAGGAACCAGATTCATCAGTGTGATGCAGCCTGGAGGCTCCGCCTACCGTGTGCAGCCAGAGTGGTGTAGCCCGTCTGCGGGATGCTCCAGGGACTCCACTCGGTGCGGCCCTCCCCACGGGCGCAGACCCGAAACAGGTAGTCTGTGTGAGGATCCAGGTGGAGAACCAGGAACTCACAGTCCCGACCAATGTAGGCGTCCTCGTACTGGCTCCCCCCGCTGCCCGACCGCCGGTACTGCAGCCGGTAATCTGCAGCAGCAAAGTCCTCGTCCACCTGGAGTATAACACATTCATTAAATCTGTTGTAGGACGCATTGATGCTAACATAGAAAGAGGAAGCGTTGCGGGGTAAATAAAGTTTACATCAACACGAGGGCTGTTTCTCACTGTGTACTTGTGCATATTCGTGTGCACATGAAATATCCTCAGCCTCACCCTTGTACTGTTCCAATTTACTAGAACAGCAGACCGAGAACAGACAAAGTCCCCGGATGTTGTTCTGGCCCCTCCCTCTTTACCCAGCATGCATCAGAGCAGACTTTTCCGTTCTCCAGACTGACAGCTCTCCCAGCATGCACTGCAGCAGCAGCTTACAGGTTAGCGCTCACAAAACTCAGAGGATTAAGTTAAAAGTGTTTTGTTGCTGTTCAATAAAAGTACGTTTTAAGAGCATCTGAGGCGAGAATATTATACTTTAAGTGTCACTATAAATGCGTAATGTAAAAAAAAAAGCTAATGTTAGCCCATTTGCAGCGGACAGGGCTAACGTTAGCCCGTCTGCAGCGGCCAGAGCTAACGTTAGCCCGTCTGCAGCGGCCAGGGCTAACGTTAGCCCGTCTGCAGAGGCCAGAGCTAACGTTAGCCCGTCTGCAGAGGCCAGGGCTAACGTTAGCCCGTCTGCAGCAGCCAGGGCTAACGTTAGCCCGTCTGCAGCGGCCAGGGCTAACGTTAGCCCGTCTGCAGAGGCCAGTGCTAACGTTAGCCCGTCTGCAGCCGCCCTCTCTCTGCGTGTGTGAAGTACCGCTTGCTCTGATGGAGGTTTTTGGTTTTATTTGGCAAATGTTCATTTGATTTGTTTATCTGACTGTGTTCATTATTATTCCTCCACTAAATGAAAAAAGTCAGAATTTATTATTATCTCGAGACTATTAATATCAGGAGGTGAAAAGCAGCTCCAATCATGGCTGCAGCCATATCCAGAATTCCTGGTTTTCCAGCCACTTTTCTTGAAATTTCTATTTTCCCATTCTCTAGCTTTTTCTCTGCCTCAAGCTTCTTTTTCAAACATACGATTTAACGATAAACCGGAAGCAATTCCGCGCAAATATATTGCATTATAATATATCGGACGAAATTGTTTTTATAATTTTTTTTTTAAATAAAGCATTTGAAATTCCACAGCAATCAAATTTAATTACTTTTAATGCAAATTAAGGGCTTTAAATGATTATAATTTAATTACTTTTAATGATTCTTAATGACCCCTGAAAACCCTGTAGAAACAGGAAAAGTCAGTCAGTAAACACGAGCAACATGCGATTAATGTAGATAAAGTTCTTCCCCTTTAAAATCTCAGAACCATCAAAATGGCAGCTGTGAAGAGGACGTAACGTCCGCTCTCACCTTACACCAGCGGACCAGGACGCTGCCCGGCCTCTCCTGCAGCTCCTCTATCTGGACGGGCGGATGGGAGGAGACGCAGCCGTGGCGGGACACCCGGTCCCTCAGCAGGCTCAGGAGCGAGTCGTCAAGCTGGGCTGAAACACACGGGACGTCCACCAAAGCGGGAACCTCAGGAAGACTGGAAGACAGCAGAGATGAGCTTATCAGCGGCGCTGGGCGACCTGTGGAGGAATCCAGAGTCTCTGTGCTACCTGTCCAGCTGGATGTGCAGGGCTTTCTTCGTAAAGCTGCCCAGTTTGTCCTCCTTCTCCCCGAGGCCACATCGCAGAGCTGCTTCTCCTGCATCGAGAATATTCCTAATTATCCCTTCATAGAACAAGTTAGCGTCTCATCGATGCGTTTCTGAGTTTCATCACCTTCCCTCAGCAGCTCGTCGGCCTGTCCCACGCCGTGCTCGATGAGGCTCTGACAGTCATCCAGAGGTTTGATGCTGTCGGCCTCGATGGCGTCGACCTCGGCCAGCAGGCCGGCCAGTCGCTCCGACAGCAGGCGACCCGCCGCCGCCTGCAGCTCTGTGAAGTGCCTCTTGAGAGCCTCGCGGGCCTGACCTGAGCTGCCTCGAATCTGAGGAGGAACAAGAAGGATGAACTTCTAAATGTTCTTCATTTTAACCTTGAATTCATCAGAGAAAGGTGATGTTCTCATTAGCTGCCGCTGTCTGAACGCACCTACAGCCGCCATCTTTCTCTGAAGCCTGGTTTACGCTCAGAAACCAGGACGACTGCGTGTGTGTCGCAGTTAACCCAGATATGCCCCGCCCCTTCCACAGACACTCTGCTGCTCCTCCCCAAAACAGTAATTGACTGCAGACAGGAGGCCTCTGATTGGTCAAATCTACATCCGCTCTACTCTACGCGTATTTCCTGTTTGGTTCCTTACCGGCTTGTTTTGTTTGTATGACCGCCATTTTGGAAAACGACTGGTGAAAATGGAGCAGCTAGAAGAGCGAGGGACGCGAGAACGCTGCACTGCAAAAACGATCTTAAAATCAGTAAAAATGTCTTAAATTAAGTGTATTTGCCCTTAATTTGAGCAGGTAAATAAGATGATTTACCAATGGAGTTAGTATTATTACAGGGTTCCTACAGCATAAGGCAAGTTAAATTCAAGACTTTTTAAGACTTTTTAATGCCACTTGAAATAAAAATTTAAGACCAAATTCACAAGAAACACAAGAAAAACCTGCTTGCGACAACTTAACCCAAAGGTTTATTATAACATAAAGCACTGCACTAATGTTTCAAATTTTGAAAAGCTTCCCATACAGAAAGAAAGCTAAAAAC